ATTGTTCTTTATTTAAATATTAAATATTTCTGTTATTACTACATTAAAATTAACTGTACAACAATATAATTAACAGTATTTAAATAACAATATAATTGAACACTATTAAATAACACATATTTAATGAAAAAAATTTTAATGTTTTATTAAACCCCTTTTTAGTATCAAATACACTGTAATATTAAAAAAATATTTTAGTAGCATGTTTTCATAAAATTTATTACTCTATAGAAGTTTGGTTTATGGTTGTTACTTGCATTTTGATTGGTTAATTTTGTCTATAATGAATGAAATTAATACAATAATAATGTTTTGTTCTAATATTTTCTACAATTTTATTTCTTTTCTATGAATGCATCTGCCTGTGTATATGTGTGTTCATAATTTATCGGTAAAAATATACTTCTTTAAGGTTTCCACTGATTCGTTAAAACCTACCAATAGTAAATATCATTTAAGCATATTAACCACTGCGTTGAATAGAATCGTACAATTTAAAGGTGTTATAGCAGTTGTATAGTAGTTCAAATATAATTCACAAATAAAGTAGACGAAGGAATCTTAAAAATCGTATACAAAGTTAATATTTGCAAGGTAAAAATTGATTGTTTCTAAGACATAAATTTTAACCTAGTACACAAAAATTTGTTTCATAAATATATTCAATAAATACACATTTTTCTATGAAATGTACAGATGAGTAGAAAGGAAGCATTGTCTCAATTTATCCAACAGATCCATGGACGCCCTGTTGTCGTGAAATTGAACAGTGGTGTAGATTACAGAGGTAATATTTGTTTCTACTTCTTAGTATATTAAAATATAAAATGTAGTTTGTCAGATAAACAATTATTATTTACATTTTGCAGGTGTCTTGGCTTGTCTTGATGGTTATATGAATATAGCACTTGAACAAACAGAAGAATATGTAAATGGTCAGTTAAAAGACAAATATGGTGATGCTTTTATTCGTGGTAATAATGTATTATATATCAGTACACAAAAACGTAGGACCTAAATAAAA